CCCCCCCCCCCCTCTATGTTAAATATACCTAATTTTGTGCTCGGTTTTCTGCTTTATATCATGATTCTTCCGCTAAATATCACAGCCATTCAGTACATTGTATTTAGTTTTATCTTTTAGGTTAAAAAAATATGAAAATCCAATACGTTGTTTAAACGACAAATTGTTAATTTTTACAAATATGAAATGTGCCAGAACTTATAAGCAATTAATTTTGCTGCTCATCATGGCCCTTGAAAACCAAACTAAATAGTATCCTAGTGTCACAATGATTATCAATCATCCAGCTACATCCTAACCAAATATGTGCATTTAAAATAATGATTCAAAAAGTTTTAGATTGGAGGAAAAAATCTGGTGTAGTTGTTAAAACTAGGAAATATTTTAGAGTGTGCTCATTAAAAAATGTTTAAAAAGTAAATCTAAAAAATGAAAAATATGAAATATGTATTAAGTAACCATAAAACCACAATGCAAGTTTATAAACCATGTATTATTCTTCAAACAATTTGCACGGCTTTTGCTTAACTGATTTTCAGCGTCATAAAGCGAACTTTTGTTATAAAGAGCCGAACCCCTCAAAATCTTATTCCTTTGGTTTACCCAAGTTCCCCAATCAAAATTTCCATAGTTCTAGAGTTACGATCGGTCAAACAAAATTACAGCTTAATATATAAATAAATTACTAAAATGACTCATTGTGTGATGGGAAACGTTAATATTCAAGATCAAGCCAGGAGTAACAAATATTTATTTTCATCATTAAAATACTAGTAATCTATCCAAATTTGAAGTAGAAGAATGAAAAATGTTGGCTCCTCACAGGCAAACATTGTAACTTTTATTATCTGAAAACAATGTCTTCGCTACATAAATTGTCATTTATGAACGTTAAATGTTCTTATCTGAAAACAATAAATTTAAACTTAAAAAAAATTTATTTCAAAATAAACGAGAGTAGTAAATTTATGGTTATTTTATATGCCTTGACAAAGACAGTACACACTCATTCACGACAGACCACACACTGACACACACTCACACAAGCACAACATATACACACACAACACACACACAAACCAAAACCTTCACACACACCCCGAATTCCAAAACTTCAAGAAATTTCCGGAACTTCACATCCGGCCCTGCATCTTCCTTTCACCGAACCAATTTAATTAAACATTTGTAGTCTAAAATACTAAAACGTAAACAGGAGATTCAATAGAATTTAAATGTTTGATTTCAAAATTAAAAACGAATTTTTTTGCAAAATGAATCGGGGGTTAATTGAAATCATGTGTACAGTAGCAAACTCAAATTTTTTAAGTATTTGCTTTCAAAAATTTAATTAATTGTTCCTTTAAATGTCCCACAGGAACATTTGCGGGGAACAGGTTGGAACAGTGTACTGAGATTCGCCGTTTTCCTGAAATTGTCTTATGTTAATACAGTTTTTAAAATTTGGAGATGATTTCCTTGCACAAAATATAGCATAAAAATATATATCATAATACTCGGCAACACGACGGTTACATTTTCGTAGAAACAATTTAAGAAAAGAATAAAGATTCCACAGACTTTTCTGTGTTATTTAAAACCAACATATTTCAAAGGCAAAATGTTTCAATTTTTACCGGCAATAAATTCCTTTCCCGAGGTCATGTAATTTAGTAAAATTGTGTACCCTATGTATTCTATCGTTATTATATACATGTTGTAGTGTACAATGTACATAGCTGTACCTATTCATTTCATGCTTCTTGGCCTGGTATAGAAGAATCCGTACACGGTCCCTTTAAAAGAACTTTTTATATTTGAATCCATGGAATCCATGAGAAATTTAGCTTTAACAAATTCCTTTAAAAGGTTTAAATAATAAAATTGTTGGATTATACCAAATCTTTAACTTACCCAAAAAGTAGNATGGTTTTAGTTTTGGGCATAGCCCCCTAGATTTTAGTTCCCCAAACTTTTCAGCAAAAAGTTGAGCTCTGTATGCAATGTAGCCACATTTCAACTGAAATATACATAAAATAAAAGAATAAAAAGTATAGGCTAATTCCTTCTTTTTTGAAACATAGACCTTTAGCCCTACTGTGTATATTTAAAAAAATGTTTGTCAAAAAATATGGTTTTTTTGTGGAAACCCTAATCAGCTTTAAACTTACAGAAAAAATAGTTGATTAGTCTAGACTAGAGCATTAGCAACTGATCTTTAGAAGGAGGGCACAATATTCCTCTGCATTACAAAAAAGCTTGTTCTCTCCCTAAATAGTGGAATTATTTTTTTAAAATAAAAATAAAGAAACTTCCGGTTAAAATTAGACACTTAGAGTGCTAAAAAAGCCAGTTTGTCAAAAATTCAAATATTACTTCCTAATACTAAACTTCAGGGATACTTTTTCATAATAAAGACACTTTTTCACTTCACCCAACATACTTTATAAATTTTATCAGAAAATAGAGTGCTTAAAAAGTGATTATTGAATGTCTGGGTAAAAATGAGCATTAAGAGGGAAATAGCCATTAGCCAAACAACATCAAAATTTTTGTAAAAATGTTCTCAAGGGGGGGGGGGAATTGCAATATTACAGCACAATGAGATAGAAAATGGCCAAGAAATGTTCCTTCTATGAATAGTAATTCTGATTACCTTCTTTTCATTAATATTATTAAACAAAGTCTGCACAAGATTCAAGAAATATTTTACAGCTTGAACTCTCTTTCTACAGAACCTTATACCTACAGACAAGAATTGGATTAGAAAACGATTTTAGTGATCTTTTAAGCAAAAGAATTATTACAAAAAAACATTGAAAATCAGTACAGATTTACTCCACATTTAACCCCATCTTATCAGTTTTCATTAGATTTTTATCAAATTTCAGAATAGAGTAGAACAAATAAATCCTTTTTTTGTGAATCGAGAAGGAAAACTTTATATCAAATAAATCAACTTTAAGACTTTAATGAAACTTCTGTATAGGGCGGGAAAAATAATACTCACAAAATTATTGGTCCGGTCTCTATAATCACTCATCATGCAATTATTGTTCATTTATCAGCAATTAGTTCTGAAATAGAAGTAAATAATTCGAAAAAATATTCATCAAACTGATTTTTTGGGTTATTCTAACTAATTTAAATACTTTGTCGCCAATCTTGTTTGGCTAAATTTTAGAGAAACATTTTGCCCCTCCCCCCTTTTAAAAAACATGTAAATAAAATTATATTCGTTTCTAAAAAGGATCATTTTGTAAAAAAGTATACAATTTTATTTTTGTCTCTGCTGCATAAATCAGAAACCCTTTGATTAATAAACAAAAATTGGAACATTTATAAAACTTTTCACGCCAGGAAAAGTTGTTAAATAATTATTTACCCTTGTCAGTGTCATGACGTTGGGTCAGGAGAATTATCTCTGCTCCCAGGTTGGAGATTTTTCCTTCATACATTTTTTCTCTCAATAGATTTTCACGTTGTTCAATCTCCTCCTGTATTACTACTTCGGGAGCAATCTCTCTGCAGCGAACACATTGATAATCTATAACTCATGTTTTAGTGAGATTCACCAAATCAAATAAGCAATTTTTCTCTTGGTTTATGGAATTATCAGTCTATGAAATATCTGCTCTGTCCATGAAATGTCCTGTCAATTAAAAATTTTATCTATGAAATGTCATACTTCTTTTTTGATAAAATATCTAAGAATTGTCCAGTGTATGAAATGTGATATCTATGATTTGGTTAGCAATGAAATGTCATATCTATGATTTTTTTAACAATGAAATGTCATATCTAGGATTTTGTTAGCTATAAAATGTCCATCTATTAAATGTCCCAAATTTGATTGAAATTGACAAATAAATATCATAACTCCTACCTACTGTGTCAGTATTTTGCAGAATAACAGAGGATGTTCCCTCACAAAGTAAATGCAGCTCGTTAAAGCAGAAGGAGCATTTAATAAAACTTGCATCGTCCCATCCTGCAAAAGTTTAAAATTAAAACCAGACAAATTAAATGCTTGTTCATAGCCAAATTTTTCAATTGAAAAAAAATAGACGGATAACTTGATTACTCCAAAATTCACGGATTAAATGATGTTAAATATGATGTTAAAGTATTAAAATTAACTTGCCAGTAATGATGCAGTCATCACTGGAGCACTGCACGCGTTTCCGTTTTACTCTGATCGAACTAAGGATTTTGGCATGCTTCTCATTATTTGCTCGTTCAGTACGACGAAGCTAAAATAGATTTTTTAAAACTCATTGTCTTTGAATATTTTTTTTTCTTCAAGACAAATCTAACACCACGGCCCCATCTGATCTCTTAAAATCACTTTCCTCATGAGATGTTTAAAGGGACTATTAAAGGAAAAATGAAAGCGGGTATAGGCTAAAACCGGAGAATGTCAGGTGTTGAACGCTTCATATAAAACATCTATATGATCTCGCGAAATTGATTTAAAACTGTATCAAAATTATACCAAAACGTATAAATTTATCAGATTTTGTATAAGATTCGTAGTATTTAACAGCTCATATTTAACAAATATGCAACCAATCTGAAAACGACAGAATCCAAGAGAACCCTGAAAATCTCTGATTTGCTCCGGTTATAATACAAAATTAAAAATGCAAAATAAAAATTCAAAAATTATACCAGGAGTACATCTCAGATTCTCAAGCATCTCTGGGATATCGTCGTTTTCCGATTGGTTGCATATTTGTTGAATATGATCTGTTGACTGTTACAATATTTATACAAAATCTGATATATATACGTTTTGGTAAAATTTTTACACGATTTTATAGTAAATTCTCAACGGAGAAATTTCAGATAGATGTCTTGTAAATATCGTATTCTCAGGTTTTAGCCTATACCACCTTTCATTTTTCCTTTACAGACCCTTTAAGGATAACAATCAAAATTAAATCTAATTCTTTAACAACCTACCAGAATATTTTTGAGGTCAATCACTTCCTCATTGATTCTCCTGTGCTCTAGATCCAGCTGTTTTAATTGTTCCTGTTTCTTCTCAATTTCCTCTGTTATATTACTTGATCAAAAATTATTTGTGACTGGGTGGTTTGTTCAAGGATTTCCGAAATTGAAAACTGGATAATCAAGACACTAAAAGATAGTGTGTAAGTCATCTATTTTTTAAGATGATTAAGTTCATTCCTGAAATAAGATCTTTTTCTAGCAACTTGTTCTGGCTCTCAAACTCCTCTGATCTATCCAATCCTTCTGTACATTTTAATTGTTTTAACTTTTTACATTAACTATGTTTGTATTTGATGTTCACCTTTCAGGAAAAACAAAACAAAATATGTAATAATTTACCAGCTTCTCATTAACCATTTCCGATATCTTGATCATAATAATTTCTTCCTAAAGCTATTAAAACTTAAATAAAGAACCTAGGTTGTTTTCGAATTTATCAACTAGACCACTAGCCACGCCTGCAAAAAATTAAAACATCAAATTATTTAACTCAAATTTTACAGTACAACTGTGAATAGACAGCCAATATAAAATTTTGAAAAGTTAACAAATATTTTAAGCCAATTCACTCCAGCTTGACAAATTTAAAAAAATTTTAAGCTAAATGCCACTTACCCATGAAAAGGTGGAGTTGGGAACATTTAACTTGAAGAATATTTTCTACTGGCTTGAAAATCATCTTTCCAATAATACTGCCATGAAACATACCCTCTGCCCTGAATCAAAATTCAGGGATATGTTATCAAGTTTATTTAGGATTATAACAAAAATAATAATGGAAGTAAATAGTAGTAACAGCATGATGGCTAAGTAATAAATTGAATTTAAGATTCAGGGTGGCCAAAACTTTTTTGAACAAATCCGTACAAAAATCCGTACATTTTCAGAAGAAATCCGTACAATCCGTACAATTTTCGAAAAAAAATCCGTACAATCCGTAAAACTTTTTTTTTAAAAATCCGTACAATCCGTACATTTTTTAAAACCAATCCGTACATTTTTTTTAAATCCGTACATTTTTAAAAAAAATCTGTACAATCAGTACAATATTCGAAAAAAATCCCATTTTTGAAAAAAAACATTAAAATTCGAATTTTCATTCATAGTCCGTACAATTTTAGGGTTAAAAAAAACAATCCGTACAATCCGTACAATCCGTACAATCCGTACAATCCGTACATTTTGGCCACCCTGAAGATTAACAACAATAATCTTTAAATCTGGTGGTGGTCATACCTTGCAGGGATAATAGTAAAATCTCACCTTAAACCTTTCTTGCTGAGCACATTAGCCTGATAATCATCCTCCATCTCCTTGACTGTTCGGAGCGTGACTGATTTGATACAAGCAGGGTTACTGAGAATAACACATGGTAAGATCAGGATATTTTGATTTCGAAAAATCACCAAAAGATAAAATAAAAGCTATAAAAATTTTTACAACTGAACATTAATAATGGATTGAATTGCCTCAATTGTGCATAGTCCAAAGCTTTTTTTTCATTGAATCAGAAAGCATTTTTTATTGTTTTACAATATATACAAAGAGAAAATGTTTACAATTAAAATAGAAGATGGCCCACCAAAAAATTAGATCCAACAAAAAATTTGGACTTGATCGATTCAGCTGTTTTGACGTTAATTGGATGCAAACAAACAAACAAACAGACAGACAAGCACAGCATGCATATATATACATGAAAAAAGCATTTGCTACATATTTACCTAACATTGTGAGGACTTCCGTCCTTATGTCCTTCCAAAAGATGCGGTTTCTCAGAATAGCTGAACAAGCTGCAGTTCCATGCAGCTTGGCCTTGATGGCCTTGAAAAGCACTTGTAAACGCTAAATCACCTAATAAGTTGTTATTTTTTAACAATAACAGTTAAACTGTTGTAGCTATAAACAGCTTTTGTACACAGCTTTTCCAGATGCAAGTCAAGATTCTTAGTCAAACCTGGGTCCAAAAGTTAGTTTAAAATAAAATGTGGAAAAAATAAAAATACCTTGTAACCCCACTTTAAACGTTTTCTGAAGTTCACACAGAGCCTCATTTAAGGGTTCATGAAATCGGGCCAAATTTTCATGATGATCTTGTCCCTAAAATTTTTTTAATAAATAAATCTTATGTATTAAAAGCAAAATAGTAAGTCTTTTCTCTTTTAAGAACTTAGATTGTCAATCCAGAGCTAGTAACATTTGTGTTGAATACCCTTAATCCCAATTGCTTAATATTGATATCCACTGTGGGCTGTTTGGATTTTCTTCTTAATCTTCCCTTTTTGGATATCCATGATTTCTCTGTTCTCTAATTGGTTAAAACCAAAATGCCCTGGTTTCTTATTGACTGTTAGTTAACAGGATATTGAATAAAGATTAAATTAATCTACAGATTAAGCAAAGATCGAAATTACCATTGATCTCGGAATCCTCAATACAAGAGTTTCAAGCTCAGGAGAATACCAATCAATTGTTCTGGAATTGCAGCCCAGATTTGTCGGATCCGCAAAAATATACGAAATCATTGGTTCTGCCAAATATTTACCCTAAAAAAAAAACCACCTCAAAAACTCCATAAAGGGACAATTGCCCAGCTCCTTGTCCATTGTCCTTCAGCATTATAGAAGTGTGTAGCTTCATTGTGTTGGCCTTCATAATTAAATTAATTGATTTAATTAGGCCATAACAAACATATTACAATTGCCCCCCCCCCCTCATTTTCCTTTAACAACTTCAGAGTTCTGAAAATTTTGTTAAAAACCTTATTCAACATGCAATTAACAGAATTTTTATTAAATCATATCAATTCCTTAAGCTGAACGCTCCCTCCTTTATCTCCACTGATAATTAACACCGGCTTACCATCTAAAAAAAACAAAATGTCTAAAATCTTAAAACGAATTGTTAACAATAAAAGTGTAGAAATAAAAGGAAAACAAAACAATGTAACAGAGATTAAGAAATTTACCGATTTTAGCTAAATCTTCCTCGTCATATTCTGCTAGATGAGAAAAAGAATGTTCAACCAAATTAGAGGTTCGGAAGAACGAACCAAGTTTACCGTCTTTACATTTAGTGTCACTAAACAATTAAAAATGAGAGTTGTGGGGAGTTGAAATGCTTATTAAAGATCTGTGAGAAAAAAAAGTAATTTTACATCAAAAGGCAAGTTTTCGCATTCTTTCTATTAAAGAGACTGTAAAGGAAAAATGAAAGAGGGTATAGGATAAAACCAGAGAATCTCAGAAAATCCATTTATTTAATTTTACCTGAAAAAAAACATTTTCCCAACCTCAAAAGGTACTCTCATCTCCATCTGTTTTTTTTTCTTCAAAATTCTAGCTTTGCTGGGAAGAAAATCTAAAAATTGAATATTTATATGACATATATAAATAACTATTAATGTTTATAAAACAGTTGATTTGCTTCTAAACAACAAGAAAAAGATAGGAGTAATAATTTGAAATAGTAATAAAATTGCAATACAACTTGACAATACACCAAAAGTTATCAAGAAGACTCACCTAAGTTTTTCCTACAGAGGAAGCTTTTAATTTTCCATAATGATGTATAACTCAAATGTGCTTCGTGTACCATTCGTAAAACTTCTTCTTCCGATACTCTTGGATCAACACTTTCCTTAGGGTTTAACCGATCTAAATAACTAACTTTGAAATTGTTCATAAGTACATTAGAAGGTTCAACTTTTAAATCCTGTTCCTGAAGGAAGTGACCATAATTCTTCAGAAATGTAAGTTACAGGTAGGGTTTCCAATCGGAAAATAAAATCTTGTGTTAAAACCCCTAGTTACAGGGTATGAAAGAAAAGAAGAGAAAGATTTGAAAGAAAAAAATTTGCTCACCACTAAAATCCTTTAAATATTGAATAACCTCTGCTGTATGCTCTCCTCCTGCAAGTTCTTCACATATATCATACAACTAGAATAATTCGTTTATTACAAAATTTTTTTTAAACAATATCGTTGGTTAAGTTAATAATGTTCAGTAAACTGATAATTAAAAAAAAAAAATTAATTTTCTCCAGAGTTCATTAAAACAAATCTTTGATTATCAATAAGGGTTGAGGATCAATCTAAAAGCATACCTTTCTTAATCTTGTATACTTGACTGCCCTTGAACATGAGCTAAACTTCTTTAGGCGACGATGACACTGCTTCAAATCCTAGAATATTATAAAATCTCTTTAGCCGAATCTACTTACTTTTAAAATGCTGACAAAACCCAGTTTTTCGTCATGAAATACATTTGAATAACATATCAAATGATACCTTCATTGATCTAATATGCTTGAGATACTTTGAGGCTGGAGTGAGCCTATATGGGAGTTGCCTCAAATCCTAGAATAATTAATAGTATGATGGGGGGAAAAATAAAAAAATGGACATTAAAAGTCATGCCCAGCAAAACCAGCTGCGTCTTGCAGGAGGTCTGGAACGTCCGCAAGACAGGCAAAGACACTCAATTTTCCAAGAAAGTATTAAATTTCACGTCAGGAAAGGTCTTGAGTCAAGACTGTAGCTAAGACCTATTCCCTTCAACCACAGCTTGGCCTGTTTCTCCCTGAGTCTGGGACCAAAATGTAAAGAAATTGATTGGCGAATGAAGTTTGATCAATAAAATATGCCCCCCCCCCCACCCTCTATCCAGAGTGTATATTTAAAATTATTATTTTAGGCACTGTTCAGAATGAAGACGCCATTTATTCATAAATTGTAAATTTTTATATTGTTCCATGAAACTTTTTGAATACGCAGATCAAGACTGGTATAGGGAGGGGGTGAATAACAGCTTGAAAACAGCTGCTCCAAGACGTTAAATCACCGTCAATTGGTGTAGCTGGATGGTTATCAACGTTTTTGACCTGTGAGTGAGTGGTGCTGCGGGAAGCATCAAATTGACAGGGTCCAACATTAACAAACTCTGCAGGCAGATCAGTATCTAGCACAACTTCAATCTCCTCCATCTGTTATATGAAAGATCAACAACACAAAATTTAATACAAGGGACTTCTACAAGCTCATTCTAAACAAGAAAACTCTTTTGATTTTTAAAAGTGTTAAATCCACACTCAACATGATGTGCCAATGGCCTGAATAGCGAATAACTAAAATTTTGAGTAAGAAACATATAAAAGGAACAATTGTACCAATTTTCTATCAAATTGATTGCACAAACAAATACACATATTGCATTATAAAAAGAGTATAATACAAACCATTTGTTTTCTCTCCATCTTGCCAGGTCTATGCTTTTTCTTCCCTCCTTTGTGCAAACCTAAACACCACATTGTTACAAAATGTATCAGTTTGTTTGTATGTCCAATCCTAACTCATGAAAAACAAGAAATGGGAAGGACTTGAAACTCCAATTGATTTGATTTGAACCCCTTGACAGAAGTTGAATTAATGCTATATTTCAAGATATTTTGGAGACCAAAAAATATTTTGAACAAGCTGATGACTAAAACAACCCAGAATAATATTTTGATATTTTTGAAATACCTGACAAACAAAGTTCTAAGCAACTAAGTGGAACTACCTTCAGCGCCTGAACAATAATATTATTCCGATCAAATAAAACTGTTTCCTTCTTTATTTTGCTGCATTTTTAACAACCGTAAGTTAGTTCTAAATAACAAATAGGGGAAAATCTATTGAAATTATCAGGGAGTGACAGCAATTATCCAAAATGTCAAAAATCGGAATTTTTGCGATAATCCTCAAATATTTCGCAAATACCTACTTTAATAAAAAATGTAAATAAATTACCTGAAAGTGGTTTGGTATACTTTTGATAAGTAAAGGAGAACCAGTGTGTCTGTAAGATGGCAGTGGTGTATATTTTCTGGAAAAATCATCCCCCCCTTTTACATTTTTTTACCCAGAAGTATGGTATGTTTGCCTTTTGATGTAAAATTTTTATTTTTTCACCCAGATCTTCATAAATCATTTCCTGTAAGTGTTAAAAACATACACTCCTGTAAGATGGTAGGTATACATCTTTATACCAGCCATTCATCATGTTTTTTTCAACTTCAGGGCTACAATTTCAAAAAATAACAGGATATCAAATTACAAATGATAAAAAACTTTAACATCATCCAAAAAAGTTATACTATAGGGTTATGAATACTGCGTTTAACTAGTGTACTGTTTCATTTTTTTCATACAATAATGAGACAAAAAGTGATATCCTTTTATTCCCTAAAAACAACTATTGGTCGGCCGGTTACTTCTGCCACCATCGTCCACTCTGGGCCACCAACCCACATTCCGTCTTTTGCCATCCAGGTGCCACAATCGAAGGCATTGAAAACCAAACTAAACAAATGAAAATATGTAATACTAACAATAATGAGTTAGTAACCCATCTACAGCAAGGGAAGTCGATTTAGTCAATTTTTACAGAATTTTTAAAATCTTGGATGAATTTGACTTTTAAGGAGAAAATTGTTTTTTTAAATTGGTGGAGTCAAGACCCAAAAACAGGTTCATTGTGGGTAACCCAGTATAAATGATAAATATCGAAAAGCGTTCTGGACTTCAGGGACATCTTTATTACCACATATCCATGATTTCTTACAAAAAACTATAAAATAAAAAAATCGCAGAACTTACCAGCTTGTTCCCTGTCCTTTTAGAATTCGTCCCTCGTGCACACCAGGACTACTACAACAAAATCTTCTTTGTACATCCAACATTAAAAGCTTGCATAAGCATATCATAAGCAATGCTCAGCTGAATTTTAAAACAAGTGCAAATTTAGAGACTAATAAAAAATTTTGCAGGAAAACTTCAAGAAAACGACTAAACCCTACTGTTTTTTCAAAACTACAAATTTATTATCTATTTTCCATGTAAAAATAAACAAATATTATGTTTGCAACCTTCTACTATAGTGATGGATTTTTTCTACTCTTTAGAAAAAGGATTATTTTGTTTTGAAAATGCCGAAGAAAAACGAAAAAAACAACGATTGTTTTTAAAAAAATTGTCCTTTTCAAAAACGATATTTTTTCGTTTTTAAAAGAAAAGTTGGCTTGATCGTTTTTAAAAATGATTAACAACCTTAGAAACAACTAGACACTATTTAAAGAGAAAAAAAATACCGGTTATTGCAGATTTTTAAATGGGCACAGTCCCCAGACGGATGCCGGAACGATTCAGGTTTTAACCCAAAGAACTCTTTATCTAAAATGAGAAAATCTTAATGAAATGTGCATGTTGGGAAATTTACTTTATTGCTTCATTACTAAAATGTTAGCATAAACATAATAATGTTTCAAGAATATACACACCAGGCCCGGACAAATTATCGAAAAAAACCATTTTTGTATAATTTAAGTACCCTCTTTCAAAATTCCCAATTTCAGCCAAGAAACCAATAAAAACAAAATTAACTTTAAAGAGGGTGGGGCCTCTCAATCTCTCTATCTCTCTATTTCTCTATATTTTGTTTCTCCCTTTCTGCATCTACCTCTCTATCTCCAACTTTTTTCCTCATTTTCTTCTTCTACCCTCTAACATCAAGTATTCTTATAGCAACTGTTTTTAATGTTTAAAAGGGGGTTTTCTTCTTTTTTCTAAAGATTTTTGTCTTTACTAAATTACTTCTTTATAATTTTCGTCAAATAAAGATTAAAAGCCTAGATTTCGTCAAAAACAAATTCCAATGACCATCCTTCCATTTCAGTTTATAGTCTAAAGATTCCTAAAAATTAACTTAATAAACCTTCAAAAAGTTAACCGTAAAACCATTATTTTTAATCTTTAAAAAAAGAACCTAAACGTTGATAAAGATAATTGTTTTCGTTTCAAAATAAATAAACAAGTCCTTACAATCCTGAAAATAAAATGCTACAAACTAGATAAATAAATAGATGGGAAAAACTAAGATATTCTAAAACTATTCAAGTGACAGGTTTAACGGCTTGAAAAAGTGAAAAATATTCGTGGTAAAAAATATATAACAGTGTGAAAATGCATTTAGGTGAGAAGTTAAAAATCATGCAGCTTCAGGGAGATTGAAGNCTGGATTTTGCGATAAAAAATTCAATTTTCGCAAATTTGCAAATTTTTTTGCAGATTCTAAAAGTAGAGCACAAGAGCTTTCTAATGATGTATCATTTGTCATATTTGGACATAAAACATGGGATTTAGAGGGGGGGGGGTCAAATTGACCCCCCCCTGATTTTCAAGTACCCCAGCAGGGATAGGGTTAAAACAAATCTTTAATTATCAATAAGGGTTGAGGACCAATCTAAAAGCATTCCTTTCTTAATCTTGTATACTTGACTGCCTTTGAACATGAGCTAAACTTCTTTAGGCGACGATGACACTGCTTCAAATCCTAGAATATTATAAAATCTCTTTAGCCCAATCTACTAACTTTTAAAATGCTGACAAAACCCAGTTTCAGTCACTAAAAACTGGTTAAATGGAATTGGTATACATTTAATTTTATTTCAAATTACCGGAATTTCCTTTTCTGTATTAAAATTTCCGTCATAAAAAATTCAAATGGAAAAATGAAAAACTAGAAGAGGTGAAATAAGGAGTAATACAAGGAGCAACTATACATTGATTAAGGAAATAGAAGTAACTATATCTTGATTAAGTGTAGTGAAAATTTTCCGTCATGATATACATTTGAAAAACATATCAAATGATATCTTCATTGATCTAATATGCTTGAGATACTTTGAGGCTTGAGTGAGCCTATATCATATCTATGATTTTTTTANCAACTTCAATCTCCTCCATCTGTTATATGAAAGATCAACAACACAAAATTTAATACAAGGGAAAACTCCCTATATTGATTCTGTAATTATATATGCACTGCAGATTCTAACATCTATCTATAAATATCCTTTGCTTGTCTGTTTGTGTGTTTGTCTATATCCAATAAACGTCAAAACGGCTGAACGACCCAAATTTTTTATGAACTCAGGAAAAAAGAATGGTTGTACAGTAAAAGGCAAGATTTTAAAAATTAACAACCTGTGAGGATGTGGTTCTGCGGGAAGCATAAGCTTCACAGGGTTCAACAATCTCTGCAGGCAGATCAGAACCCAGAGCAACTTCTGTCTGTTCCTCATGTAAGAAGACTTCTAGAAGCTCATTCTAAACAAGAAAACTATTTTCATTTTTTAAAAGTGTTAAATCCACACTCAACAAGATGTGCCAATGGCCTGAATAGCGAATAACTACAATGAAACACTATATCTAAAAATTATGAGTTATAGCTAGAGTTAGTTTAAAATATGGTTTGCAGCTGAATTAAAAAACGCCTTTTGTACCAATTTTCCTTCAAATTGGTTGCACAAACAAATACACATATTGCATTATAAAAAGAGTATAATACAAACCATTTGTTTTCTCTCCATTTTGCCAGGTCTATGCTTTTTCTTCCCTCCTTTGTGCAAACCTAAACATCACATTGTTACAAAATGTATCAGTTTGTTTGTATGTCCAATCCTAATTCATGAAAAACAAGAAATGGGAAGGACTTGAAACTCCAATCCACTACTGGAGTCTTAGGCCATCCCTGCAACTTTTGATTTGATTTGACCCCTTGACAGAAGTTGAATTAATGCTATATTTCAAGATATTTGGAGACCAAAAAAATATTTTGAACAAGCTGATGACTAAAACAACCCAGAATAATATTTTGATATTTTTGAAATACCTGACAAACAAAGTTCTAAGCAAGTAAGTGGAACTACCTTCAGCGCCTGAACAATAATATTATTCCGATCAAATAAAACTGTTTCCTTCTTTATTTAGCTGCATTTTTAACAACTGTAAGTTAGTTCTAAATAACAAATAGGGGAAAATCTATTGAAATTATCAGGGAGTGACAGCAATTATCCAAAATCGGAATTTTTGCGATAATCCTCAAATATTTCCCAAATACCTACTTTAATAAAAAATGTAAATAAATTACCTGAAAGTGGTTTGGTATACTTTTGATAAGTAAAGGAGAACCAGTGTGTCTGTAAGATGGCAGTGGTGTATATTTTCTGGAAAAATCATCCCCCCTTTTACATTTTTTTTCCCCAGAAGTATGGCATGTTTGCCTTTTGATGTACAATTTTTATTTTTTCACCCAGATCTTCATAAATCATTTCCTGTAAGTGTTAAAGACATGCACTCCTGTAAGATGGTAGGTATACATCATTATACCAGCCATTTGTCATGTTTTTTTCAACTTCAGGGCTACAATTTCAAAAAATAACAGGATATCAAATTACAAATGATAAAAACTTTAAATCATCCATAAAAGATATACTATCGGGTTATGAATACTGCCTTTAACTAGTGTACTGTTTCATTTTTTTTTCATACAATAATGAGACAAAAAGTGATATCCTTTTATTCCCTAAAAACAACTATTGGTCGGCCGGTTACTTCTGCCACCATCGTCCACTATCCTTTTAGAATTCGTCCCTCGTGCACACCAGGACTACTACAACAAAATCTTCTTTGTACATCCAACATTAAAAGCTTGCATAAGCATATCATAAGCAATGCTCAGCTGAATTTTAAAACAAGTGCAAATTTAGAGACATAATAAAAAATTTTGCAGGAAAACTTCAAGAAAACGACTAAACCCTACTGTTTTTTCAAAACTACAAATTTATTATCTATTTTCCATGTAAAAATAAACAAAAATTATGTTTGCAACCTTCAACTATAGTGTTGGATTTTTTCTACTCTTTAGAAAAAGGATTATTTTGTTTTGAAAATGACAAAGAAAAACGAAAAACAGAACGATTGTTTTATAACAAATATTGTTTTTAAAAAACTGTCCTTTTCAAAAACGATATTTTTTCGTATTTAAAAGAAAAGTTGGCTTGATCGTTTTTAAAAATGATTAACAACCTTACAAACAACTAGACACTATTTAAAAAGAAAAAAAAACCGGTTATTGCAGATTTTTAAATGGGCACAGTCCCCAGACGGATGCCGGAACGATTCAGCTTTTAACCCAAAGAACTCTATCTAAAATGAGAAAATCTTAATGAAATTTGCATGTTGGGAAATTTATTGCTTCATTCCTAAAATGTTAGCATAAACATAATAATATTTCAAGAAAATACACACCAGGCCCGGACAATTTATCGAAAAAAACCATTTTTGTATAATTTAAGTACCCTCTTTCAAAATTCCCAATTTCAGCCAAGAAACCAATAAAAACAAAATTAACTTTAAAGAGGGTGGGGTGGGGGGGGACAGAATAATTTTTTAAGAATATACACACCTAGCCATGACAAATTCTAGAATAGAAAACATGTGTGTATAACCTACGTACCATCTCTCAAATTAAACAATTCCAGGGCCTGCTGTCTAAGACTCTGGGCATGTTTTTCTGTCCCGTACAACAGGAAACTTACCGCACTAAACAACAGTTTTTAGAGATTATTTCTGGATTGTAAAAGCATCATATTTCAATTTAATTTTCATAAAAATAGGTTTAATGACTTTAAAAATAGTATATTGGGTACAAAACGTCCATTATCAAAACGTTGATTATCAAAATGTTGACTGCTACAAAACATCAATTAAGAAATGGTCGTCTGCCAGAAAATGTCGACAGTTACAAAATGTCAAATACTTCTAACATTAAATAATGTACTGTTTCTCACATTATTTTGGGTTAGGGATGGTTAATACAATTTCTTGGCTTGGATAGGGTAGTGTGCCGAGCGCTGCGCTGCTGAAACTAATTCTCCTCCCATGATTGTAAATGAATTGAAAGTGAGCAATTTAAATCAAAAATCTGCAGATTATTATTTAAAAATTGTGTTTTGAAAAAGCTTATTATTCAATGTTTTGTAGCAGTTCACGTTTTGTAGTAGTCGATGTTTTGGTAATCGACGTTTTGTTCCCCAATCCGGAAAAAACATTTAAAATTAAAAAATGTGTCTCACATCTGTGTTTCTTGCATTATTATACTAGCTTAAATTACATATGCATAAAACTTTTTTTTCAACCTCATAATTAAGTTAGTATTGACCAAAAAGAGGCTCAAACATTTATTTATTTTAAAGACTTACTTAAATCCACAATTTCCATTTCCAGTTACATCCTGGACAACAAACACTGCAGTAGGTGTCGTTTCCAACTCCGGATTGTAGAAATGAACACCTTCAGAATAGTTTTAAAAAAAAAATCGAACATTAAGGAATTCTAAAGCATGCTACAGACAATTTAAAAATGATACTACAAAAATAGTATATTATAAAACTTAATTCCTTCCCTGTTCCACGACAAATAAAAGTACATTTTCTGCACGGTATCCTCCCGACATCTCCCATTATTATATGAAACAACTAAAAAACATTGACAGAAGACGAAACAAAATAAAAATTCGACAAATTCCACAAATTAGAGTTTGAATTTTTTAATTAATTTTTTGTTTCATAATATTCTCCTGGATATTCAATCTTTCCTCCTTCCGTTTCTCGAAACTTCTGTGACCAAAAATAATGAATGTCAGCTGGGCCATAGAAATATCTACTGCTGGTTCAAATCTTGAATCACCGATTTAAAAGTAAAGATGCATGACAATTTGAATCAGTGATTCAAAGTTTGAACCAAAGGTAGGTAGTTCAGCAGCCTCTCTAATTCACTAAATTCCCTGTACTGAAGCCCGTACATCTTAATCCTTCCAGTGACAAGTCATAATTCCAGCACTCCTGAGCCATGCCAAACATGCAGGCGTTGAAAGACTGTTTTAACCAGTTCCTTCAGTTTCTCATCTTAAAAAATACAAATTTTTTATTGTGCACCCCATAGCAGAGTGGCAAATAATGTAGGATTGTATTTTCTTACTCTATTTAACAAATTCAAACCCTTGACATTACAATTGATAAATACCTAATTTTAACACAGACAAAAAATTTATCTAAAAACATGCATATCTTATTCATTCTTAATCATACAATGCTTATGAAGGTACCGTTGTGAATCAGACATGCCTAATCAAATTTGTGACTACTTCATGATGTTCAAAACCTGATGAACTTGAAGTGAAGGTTTAACAAGAGTTTTAGTAAAGAAAATATTACTGGATAGATTTTTTGGCATAGTTGTAAAAGGAAGAATAACTAAATAATAAGATCTAACTACATTGAAAGTATTGAAAACTACAGATAGGTCAAGAATACCCGCCACTACGGAACTGTCGCTAACATTCTTAAGCAATTTGACAGTTTTCATGCTAATACAAAATCAAAATATTTACCTATGTCCAACCACAAGCTCGGACTGAACAGGAACTCCAACTGGCTTACAAACTAAATCAAACATTAAAAATCAAGATTTCAATTTTCCACCTTAAAATCAACATTAGGAAATTTCATTAACATCAAGGAAGTTGCATATAAACCATTCACAAGTTTTTTTTAGGTTCATTACAGGTAGAGATGGGCATGGGTTTAAAACAAAGTTTTAAAAAATTAATTTCAAACCTTTAACTCTGTTTATTTACTTAGTTCAAGCTCATATTTTATCAGCTGGGGCACATCCTCTTCTTTCAATCTAAATATTCATTTGTCAATGACATTTTTATTTTTATAAAAGTAATTAATTTCAAACCTTTAACTCTGTTTATTTACTTAGTCCAAGCTCATATTTTATCAGCTGGGGCACATTCTCTTCTTTCAATCTAAATATTCATTTGTCAATGACATTTTTATTTTTATAAAAGTCATAAAGTTAAAGAATCATTTATGTTTTCTGATAAGCAGTACTTAATGAGTGGTTTGAATAGACAAAATTGGGAAAATTTTTAGAAAAATGTAATTGTGAGCTGAAAAGAAACATATAAAAATTTCAATTTACAAACCTGATTTTACTGGAGACTAATGATTGCGTAAAATGGTGTACAATTCCTGATCGATTCCTTCCCTCTTGGCCAAGCAACTTTTTAAATATTGGCAGTACATTTTTAAAATTGTGTCCTTAAATAAATTGTGTGTAAAACAATAATTCTAAATGTAAACCCTTATGTAGTAATTTCTTTAAGTCCTTTAATTTTGAAATCATCAAGCTGTTATTTGATTTTAAATTTGCAGTAGAATACTTGTCATGTTGGAATTAAGCCTGATGTTTGTTGTCAACAATCGCCCTGAAAAAAAAATTCAAGATCATCGACCAAGTAAAACTAAATTTTTCAGAGAAACAATTGACCAAAAATATAACGCATCTCAGGTATTTATAGTTGTTTTTGATCTTACTGAAGTAAAGTTGTATTTTTCAGGAAACAAAATCCTGAGAAATTCAAAGGAATTTCTGAGACTATGTCTCTTAATCAGTAAAAAACTTGTTCTTTCCTTTAAATTAGGACAGTTTTCCACGATTCAAAAATTATGTAAAACTAAAAACTATCTATGAGCCAATAAATATGCTATGAACTTCATGAAAACAATTCTAAATTTCGAACAAATATTCACAATAAAAACTTTCATAAGACTCAAATGAATCCTAAAATCCTCCGCAGAAATACAGGAATACTCAGAGGATGACAACAAGTTTTATCAATCATTCAATCAACCTATCAATCAATCAATGCATTGTTAAATTTAGTTCTCCAAACAACAGCTTCAAACTGGACAAAATAGAGCAGAAAACAATTACAAATATGCTGGAACAAGTTGTGTGAGGAGCCCCAAGAGATAACATGCTAAAACGAATGCAAAATGTTTACCTTGAAAATACTAAAAACCAATCCAAATCTGTTTCAACATTCTTAAACTACTAGCTGGTTATCTAAATAAGACAAACATTATAACAATGAACATTCAGACTCGATTTTTTTTTTGAGTTTTACAGTTTAATTTAAAAATAATACAACTGGACAAAAAAAGTGGAAACCTGTTGTATCAGCTTAAGCATGTAAAAATAAGAATTTAAGTACTCATAATCTAAAATTTAAATCTCATAAATCCACAAGACACTGCCTAAAACTTATTTTAAATACTACTGGATTAGCTTGTGAACTGATGGATTGTAATCCAACTATTTATTTATATTTGGTATTTGTCCGTAAATGATTTTTTCAAAGTTTTCCGTTGATATGTTGGGAAGTTTTTGAATTTTACAAACTTCTTAAATTTTTAATTACAAATCTTTAATTTGAACTGAAACCTACATTGGTCAATCTAAATAAAAATTCCTGAAAATGTTTAAGAACCACATCGTTTAATAATAAAGTGTTTGTTACATCTAAAAATAAACATACCCTGCACAAAAGCTGTACTGACAGCACTGCGTCTCAAATCTAAATACATATTTACGTTAAATGATATATCCTACTATGTGCACCTGCTTGCACTTAGAAATCTTAAACCAGGGAACACAAAGTTTGACTTAATTACTTTTTGGCATTTACAGTAAATGTTACTTAATAGCTGGGAACTTTTGTGTTGGATACCCTTACTCCTAATCGTTTATTTTGATATCCACTGTGGACATTTTTGTTGAAATTAATCTGCAGATTAAAAAAATATTGAATAGAAGCATTGATCTTGACATCCACAATGCAAGAGTTTCCAGCTCTGGTTAAATATCATCCATAAAACTTATTTAGAACCTGTTTGTTCATCGACCTCAAGACGATCTAGTATCTAGGTGCACATTGCAAATTATACTGACTTAAAAAGCTAATCACAATTTTCAAAAACAAATTGGCAAGTCAGTGTTCTTTAAGAAAGAAGCATAACATTAAAATTGTTCATTAACTTTTTTCTACATTTTTATAATTCATGCACAAGTTAGTAAAGAGAGAACAAAAATTATCTAAATCTCTGCAAATAAAAAGAACAAAACTCACCTGAACACCAATGTACCGCGGAAAAAAAAACCTGTACACTTGAACATTTGGCATTGTTGAGCCACATTTGAGCCAAATTTGTGGTTCTAAATATCCTAAGCACTAAAATGAACAAATGATATTTTTAAAATATGTCTTATCCTAGTTTGTTTCATTTTAGTCAAATAAAAAAATACTACCCTCGCTTCAGAGAATAAACGTACTGCCAAATTTTTAGAAAAAAAACACAAAAAAAATCTTTTTAAAAAACAGGTTTAAAGTCAAAATCCATACACCAAAATGTTTTATGACCAGTGGAATAAAGTCGAACAAAAAAATTTTTTTAATAAAAGGTCGCTTGACATTATACCAACTGTCCATTTACACCGTTATTAAGTATCCTCTTTGAAATCCTGAAAAAGAATCATAAAAAATAAGAAATAACATACAAAACAATATTGTCAAAAAAACTGTTTGTCAAGCTCTCATACAGGGATGTATTGTATATCTTCTGAAAATAGTATCATGACCCATGATTGGAGCTTAACAAATATTGGGTTTTTTCCCCAAAGAAAAAAATTATCAAGAGACAGCTCAACACCAAGAGTTATAAATGTTATAAAAAATGTATGATTTTTAAAATTGCCTTACTTCAAAAAGCCCAATCCTTTAAGTGGAAGAAATGAATTAGAAAAGGAAGAATGCATTAAAGAAGGGACTAAAAGATATCAAAAATCAAACCTACTATTTTTGAACTTCTTCGATACAAAGTTAACACACTCTGAAAAATTAAAACTAAATTTAATTAGTATTCTGGAGTCCCCATGTGGGGGGGGGGGGCTCTGGCAACAACTAAATAAGTTTTACAATTAATTGGTCATGCATGCCACAGATCAAGGCCTTTACACTCAGAAAATCTTCTTTGCTCAAGGTTACTTCAGCTATGTCCAACATTTCATCAAGCCTTTCCTCTTCCCTCTCAAAGTCCCAGTTGAACAGCTGAAGATCATCCTCCAAATCTTGACTCTAAAGATTGTCGTTATTTTTAAAATAAAAGCACAATTTTCCTTCAAAAGTTAATTTATTGAATAATTGTTATTAGGAAATGTTTTATTAACATATGAAAATGTTTTCAAGAACTTTAAAAACCTGTATGACAAAAAAACTACACATAACTTCAAGCAAGTTTAATTTAAAAAAAGACTTGTACGACTCACAATAGTAGACTTAAAAGATAAAATGTTTGTCCCATCAAGTATTAAGAAACTATTTTTTTTAGTAATGACCTCTCTAAAGAATTGACTTGCATAATTCTGCTATAGTAAGCAATGGAGAAATTGTCGGAATTAAATATTTTTAAAGCTAGAAAAACATATCTTTCACATTATTGATAAGATCAAGTTTTAACGTTAACATTGGAAATCGGAAACAATCACGTTTTAAATAGAGATGTTAACTTAAAATTACGCCAACAGTCCCTTTAACGATTAATTGGACAACCAATGATACTTTAATACATGCCGATTAACAATGATACCCAATTTTTCAACCAAAAAATGTTACTGGAAAAAATGTCGACCATCATTGTTAATGAATCAAAGAAACTATAAAAAAACAAAGTTAGAAAAAATGCAATAACAGCATTCCTTTGGAGGGAAAACACGAAATTTCCACATATATTTCGAAAGCGTTGACAACACAAGAGTGTCCTGAATCAAATAGGATAGTAATAAAAATGAAAATAATAGACAAAGGGAGGGAACAAATTAAATCAATCCAAAAAAATCAGGGGTTTATTCGTTTAATCGGGGAAAATACTTAAAAGTATCAAATAAGATGAAAAAATTTAATTCTGCATGTCAAATTTTTTTGATCCCTTCATCGATCATTTTTTAGCACATTAATTTAATATTTTCATAAAAAGAGAAAATGTGGTCCCGTCCCCCCTAGCCAAAAAGAAAAGGAAATACAAACACTTTTATTACTTTATAACTCATTAAAATGTATAATTTCAACTAAATTTAATCCTATATTCCTGATTTCTCAGCTCCACAGATTCGTAAGAAAGAACTTCCCTTCCATTGACACTAAAAATTAACATGAATATTGAGCAAATAAAATTAGTATCAGAACGCTACTACCAGTTATATTTGCAAGGGCAAACAGAAAAATATGCACTCATGGAAAAAAAATAAACAATAAATTTCAACCCCCCCCCCTCCACCCGACCGAGGAAGGGGCCAAGGGGGGGATAATGAGGATACCCTCGATGGAAAAACGTTCGATGGAATAGGGGAGACTGTTAAATAAATGCGATATTTATGGCTCACCTAACACCATTCATACTGAAATTTGTGATCTGGAACCCATTGGATTCTTTGTTGAAGGTTATTGTGGCATGCTTCCTTGAGATGTTCACGTCCTAAAATATTCATTTTATCTTAAAAATCATTAACTCAACCTAGTTAAGTTTGAATGATTAGAGTGAAGTTTGCATTTTTGTGTAACAATATAAATATTAACAGGAATTTTCATTGTGGCCTGACGCATTTTGCCGTCCAATTTCAATTTGTCCAGACTTAGATTATTCTCTTAAAACTTCTCTTAATATAGACCATAGATAAGTTGTCGTGAAAGGCCCATGATTCAAGAATCAAGAAGAATTGCAAAAATTACCAATTATCTTAATTATGAAATAATACTGGATTATAAAAAAAATAATTAAATTTATTAGTGTTCTCAGTGATAAGTTATCAGAAATTTGTTTTTTTAAAGTAAAGATGTACAGTGATGCAGAGCCTATGCAGAATTAAAAGTACGTTTATTTCTGTTGAAAATGCATCATTCTTGCGAGTTAGTGCAGGCCCTGCAAAAACCCTTTAATTTTAAAGAAAAAATTCCTGTGATGACTAACATGCAAAAGAACAATATCAGACCAAAGTTAATTTTAATATTAAGAATAAAAAATGTCGGAATTATGTAGAAAATTAATATTTTTTTCTTGATTTAAAACATGCGTTACATTACGCTTTCTCATGCAAAATTTACACCCTTATTTTACCATGATCACAAGATCAGCCTCGCTATCCCTACCAATCTTGAAAGGCAGTTCTGCCACCACCACCCTCCGTGGACTAAAATAAATCCATTATCATGATCAAGAAAAATGAATTTACAATGATCTAAGAAATATTCAATCGGGATGTAAAATGTTAGGATTACATGTCTTAGCGGTGGGGGGGTGGAGTGGAAATATTTTTCGATTAATTAGAGAAAAAATGACAAAAATGACTAGGCTTTTAGGGCGCTTCGCGCCCATCTTCTATCTAAATTGTGAACATGTTCTTTTTGTTTACATTTTAAAACAAAGAAGAAAAAAATTTTGCGGATTTTTAAAAAAAAAATCGCGGATTTTCAAGAATTTAAATTTTTTTACAAAATTAAAAACCTTTAAAACACATTTTTTTAAATTTTTAGGTGGGGGGGAAGAGTGGAAATATTTTTCGATTAATCAGAGAAAAAATGACAAATTTACAAATACTAGGCTTTTAGGGCGCTTTGCGCCCATCTTCTATTTAAATTGTGAAAAAATTTTGCGGATTTATAAAAAAAAATACTTTTGACGGTGCAAATTTATTTACAAAAAGAGGGATAACGAAAATTATTTCACGAAAATAAATGCTTAACTTTAAAATAAGTATTCCGCCTGAAAACTATTTTTATCAAGTAAACCAGTATTAAAACTAATTACACTGCACACTTTAAATTTAATTTTCTCACCTAGTTCCTCCAACCCCCTTCAATAAAAGTCTTGGATAAGACATCCTGAATTAAATCCGTACTTTTCTGAAAACAACTAACATTATAATTGAGTAGGTCATAAAATAATTGTAAACCACAATATGTACTTTCCATGTACAAATAAAAAATATTAATTATATGGCCGAAGTACGAGAAGCACTTGTCCTCATAAGCGAAAGATAATGGTGTTTTAGTTGGGGGTGATTGAGCTGAACGCGTAAACCCTTTAATTTTAACAGTACGTAAACGTGCCATCTTTTAAACAACAAACTATACTTCGGTCTGTTCTAGAGTAAGTGTTCAAGTCCGGTCAACCAGCGCACCTTTGCAGTCTATATAGAAGATTAAAGGCGACTGGGTGGGGGGGGGTGGATTATAGTGAATCTTCTGCGGTCGTTGGAGAGTTATAGGGGTTAAATGATTAATAAAGGGCAGGCTGTATATATATCGATTACAATACTTACACTTTAAACACTGCAAAAATATGCAAATATTGAAATAGTCATTTAATCAATTTAAGATGATCATATGAATGCCTAAAAACGTTAAATGGTAAGTTTAAAGACATGATTATTCAAAAAATGACTGTTCACAGAAGAATTCACTAATTTTCTGCTATAATTAATTATTTCTTTACTGGTTAAAACATGTATAAAAAAGCAGAATGCCGCAACTACTGTTTTAATTAAGGTGCCTTATCAACGGAACTGTGAATGTAATCGGATTGATAAATACTCCGACATATTCATAGATGGGATTACACAACAGTCGTACAGTAGTTTGGTTGACCGGTTCACCCCTGTAGATGTCCGAGGTCGGTATGGGTCACATGTAGCCCGCGCCTTGAGCGCCAGAAACGTTGCCAGTTGGGAATAAAAAAACAACAATTAAAAGAACAATTAAAACAAATACATAAAGAACATAAAATCATAAAAATCTATTAAAATAATAAACGATTTAATAGAAACCATTCGATTTTTTAAAAATAAAACAATGCTCTTTAGAAATGAAAAAAAGATTTTTAAAACTCTGTATATGTTTTAAAAATTTGTATTTCAGGATGTTTAAGAATAATTAATTTTCTTACAATTATATATACTTGTGAATTGATTTAAATATTTTTAGGTTCATCTAAACAATTTCAAAATATTATAGCTTTGCAGTTTTCAACGTTCACAGTACGGCAACCCTGTAACTCATCCGATCCCAACACCTTAACCGCTGAAAAACAACCAATCAAACTTGGCACCATTCAAATATTCATGTACGGGCATGGGGAGGCTTTGCCTGTTTAGGTGAAACAAGACGTAATTAGCTATAAACTAATTCTACGTGACTTAACCCTTTTTAGGAGAAAAATAGTTATTTCGTTTTCGTACTC